CAACTTTAAGACTTGTGGACTTCAACTCCCAGAATTCCTCAGCCAGCCAAGCTGGCTGAGGAATTCTGGGAGTTGAAGTCCACAAGTCTTAAAGTTGCCAAGGTTGGACACCCCTGCTTTATACTATTCCAGACAAATGACTGTCCGATCTCTTCTTAAAAAATTCCCAGTGTTGGAGCATCTGCAACTTCTGAAGGCGAACTGGTCCACTGATTAATTGTTCTCTCCTTTGTTCTAGGTTGCTTCTCTCTTTGATAACTTTTCCAACCTCTTTGACAAGTTACTTGTCCTGACCTCTGGTGCTTTGGAGAATAGTTTAACCCCCCTCCTCTTATTTGTGGCAGCCCCTAAGATATTAGAACACTGGTATCATGTCAGCCGTAGTCCTAAGCTAGACATACCCAATTCCTGGAACTATTCTTCATATGTTTCAGCCTCCAATCCTCTAATCATCTTTGTTGTTCTTCTCTGCATTTTTTCTAGAGTCCCAACATCTTCTTTTATATCATCATATCATTATATTACATTACATCCAAACTGGGTGCAATATTCCAAGTATGGACTTACCAAAGCAGTATAAAGCAGTACTAACACTTCATGTGACCTTGCTACAAACCCTCTGTTGTGACAATCTAGGAGTCCATTGATATTTTTGGAAGCTGCAGCACACTGCTGGCTCATACTTAAGTGGTTGTCCTCTAGGACTCCTAGATCCCTCTCACAGTTACTACTGTTGAGCCAGGTACCTTCTATTCTATTCCATTCCATTCCATTCCACTCCACTCCACACCACACCACACACCATTCCAGTCCAGTCCACTCTCACTTCTATTCTACTCTACTCCAGTCTATTATTATTTCTGTTGTATTCTACACAGTTTTTTTCTCCTAAGTGTAAAACCTTATTTTTCTTGCTACTGAATTGCATTTTGTTGGATAGGACCCAGTGTTCAAGTCTTGTCAAGACCTTTCTGGATCTTAAACCTATTTTGAGGCTATTCCCTTATATTTAATGAGTTTCTCTCTTACGCCCTCATCTAAATCATTTATGAAGATGTTGAAGAAAGAATCCTGGGAGTCTTGTTTTGTCTGTTTATTTGTGCAGTTTGCTTGTTTTGTTTTGTTTGTTTTATTTGTTTGTTTATGCAGTTTGCCTGAGATTTATGTATTTATATATAAAATTTATTGACTGCCTGTCTTACCACGGGATAATTCTGGGTGGCTTAAAATCATAAAAGATAAACACATACACCCAACTGCTAAATAAAATAAATAAATTAAGAGGCTAGATGGAGTTAAAATCTGTCAAGGTAAAGACTGAGATTCAATCATTATTCTCTTTGTATATTGTTGTGTGTGTCAACCTTGGGCACTTTAAGAGGTGTGGACTTCAACTCCCAGAATCCTTCAGGCAGCTCTCTGTCTGAGGAATTCTGGGAGATGAAGTCCGCACATCTTTAAGTGCCCAAGGTTGACAAATACCGGTTTAACAGTTGTCAAGAGCTCTTGCTTGGGCAAACTATTACTGGTGGTAGACCTGGGGAATGCTGGGAAATGAAGTCCTTGAAAGTTCTGAGATTGAGAAAAAAGTGTTTTAAAGCCTTTTGGGGAGGATAGGGGCAAAGATGCTATTATATTTCCCAGGCATTTATTCATGAACCAGTTGAATCAATGTCTTCGAGCTGCAGCAGATTCTCCATTTAATGGCTATTTTTTTTTCCTTTTAACTTCTGGTCAGACTGTTCCTTTTAGTGGTCCAATTTATGGTGGCCTGAAAGATGGGATGACCATAATAGTCACTGGAACTGTTTTGAAGTCCTGCAGAAGGTGAGTCATTCAGGTGAAGGAGAAAGGAAGTGTATGGGAAGTTCCACCAAATCTTTTCAAAATATCTGGACAGCCATGGAACTAGTGAAGCGTTTTAACTGTCTCTGAACAAAGTGGACCTTTCAGTCCATATTGTATAACCATCATCTATCACCCGGGCATTGATGGGAATAAATTCTGAAACAAAATGATGCCTTTCCAATAGATTTGAAGTTTTGCAAATAAGTACAAAGAAATTGCTGGTCAGGTTGAACTTCACTCATGTTGGTTTATGATACAAACACTTCTTAAACAAACCCGTTCCCAACACATTCATATTGTAAAACAGGATTGGGGAACCATGACTCTGGACAACTCCTCTCATTCTTCCTCAGAGGCTGGCTGGAGGCAGGATGAACTCATTCCTGACACATCAGGAACTGGGTTGATGAATGACTCTGAACTGCCAGCTGAAAGAGATTTGCAAAGGGCTTTGGATGGGGACAGTTTGCAGATCAGTGAAGAGGAGGAGGAGGAACTACCTTCTGTTATGGATCCAAGAGTACACAGGGCAGAGAAAAGGCAAGAGCAAAGGAGATCTACCAGATTACTCTGGAGAAGGCTCCAAAAGAAAGCTATTTATCGCAGCAGGCAGAGGGAGGCGTTGCTGGGAACAACTGGCTGTGTGTTTTTTCATACTTCCTGCTAGACTTGCTGGCTTGGAAACTGTAGTTCTCTTGCCAAGTGAACTCTCCTGGGTGTACTTTCATTTTAGCCTGGTGGATTTAAATTTGTTTGGTGGACTTACTTGGAGCAATTTTCCATGGTTTTATGGACTATTGCCTTGTGGACTAATCTTGGCCTGCTTATGGCTGGCTTTATTTGGGACAGTTTTGAGGCTGAGTGAAGGGAACAGCTGAGGTACATTAATAAACTCTCTAAAACACACATGTGTGAGTGAGTGGGGCAGCACGGGCCCTTTTATAACTTGTGTACATGGACGGCTCAGGAATTCTGGGAGTTGAAGTCCACAAGTCATAAAAGGGCCATGGTTCCACACCCCAGTTGTAAAGTATACAACTATATAGTTCTGTGCAGAATAAAACTGGATGTCTTTCAACTAAATCTGTTTGAAAATCCTAAAAATTAAATAAGGAGCATGTCTCCTACGCACACAGTGGAAATACAGATAGTTCTCAACTTACAGCAATAATGGAAGCTTGTCTTTCTGATGTTGTAGAAAAGGTCAGCCATGTGACCAACTCAATTTTACAATTTTTTTGCAGCCGTCATTAAGCAAACCAATCATTCACTATAGGCTGATTTAGCCAAAAACTGGAAGTAAGTGTGGTTTTCAGCAAAAATGTCATCAAACATGGTCATGTGACCACTGCAAGCAGCTAGTTGCCAAGTGCCCAAAATGCACTCATGGGACCTGGCAACTCTTGAAGCTTTGGAATCGGATTGTAAGTAGCCCTGTGGAGCTCCACTGTAACTTCAAACAATTGCTAAGAAGCTGGTTATAAGTTGAGGATTATCTGTATGAAGGGTATCACACTCTGAAATGTCGGCACCCATTTTTGTGGGTATGTATTGCAAAATAAGAATAGGAATGGAATGGAACAGAACAGAACAGAATAGAATTCTTTATTGGCCAAGTGTGATTGGACACACTAGGAATTTATCTTCCATGCATAAACTCTCAGTGTACATACAAGCAAAAGTGATAAATCATGATCCTAATCATAAAATACAATTATCATAAATCATAAGATACAACACTCAGTGATAGTCATAGCATACTAAATAAGCAATCAATATAAATCATAATACTAAATAAAAACAAGCAACATAAATCATAAATACAAACAACAAAGTAATAATCATAAGAAGCTAAGGGAATAGGGAAGATGAGAAGGATACAGTAATAGTAATACAGCCCGATTAGGTAGTTTGACATCCCAGGGGCAGAAGACAATGTTATGGAAATTAGGTGTTTAGCAGTGTGATAACATGTAGGGGAAAAAACTATCTTTGTCTCCAGTTGTTTGGCATGCAGTGCCCTGTAGTGGTGTCCTGAAGGGAGCAGTTGAAACAGTTTATGTCTAGGATGCAAGGGGTCTATAGATATTTTCATAGCCCTCTTACTAGCGTAAGAGGGTCCTCAATGGAAGGCAGGCTGGTTGCAATTGTTTTTACTGCAGTCCTATCTATCTGTTGAAGTCTGTGCCTGTCCTGTTTGGTTGCTGTGCCAAACCACAGAGTTATAGAGGTGCAGGTGTCAGACTCAATAATTCCTCTGTAGAACTGAATCAGTAGCTCCTTGGGCATTCTGAGCTTTCTGAGTTGGCGCAGGAAGAACATTCTTTGTTGTGCTTTTTTTGATGACATATTTTATGTTAGGTGTCCATTTTAAGTCTTTTGATATTATAGAACCTAGAAACTTGGTCTCTACTGTTGAAACTGTTCTGTCTAATATTTTAAGAGGTCGTAGAATAGGAGGGATTTGTTATGACCCAGGTGGCCAAGGCAAGGCAGGCCCTTAGAGAGTCCTTTATTGTCCTCACAAAGTGTTCAACAAACGGTCCTCCAACGGCTAGTAAGGCTCCATCCTTAGCTCCCTTGAAGGCAGCCACCCTCAAATGTACCCTCAAATGACAGCCCACATATTATCAGGAAAGTCCATATGGCAAAGTCCAGGCATAAGACAAACGGCAGTCCTCAGGGCAAAGACAAGGCTCAAGGCAAAGGCAGCTTTGAAGGCAAAGCAAAGCAAAGGGCAAAAGCCATCCACAAGGCAGGCCTCAAAGCAAGGCAAAAAGGCCAGAGTCAAAGCTGGGGGGAGTGTAATCCAAAACAAACAATTGTCCCTGGCAAAGACTAGCTCCCCACAGCTTCTTCCTCAGTCACTCCAGTCCAGGTGTTCACCGTGAGAGGGGGCAGGGTGGCCCTCTCCCAAGCAGCCCTTCTCAGCCTACACTCCGCTCTCCTTGTCCTTGGATCAAGTGGACGAGGCAGCTGTTCCTCATCAGAGGAGATCCGCTGCCTATCAGCACCACTGCCTGTCAGCGGCCGCTCCTCCCTCGCATCCGTGAAGCCAGGCAGCTCCCCATATAGTCGACTACCTTCCCCAATGCCTGAGGGGCCTGGGGCAGATTATCTTCAGCCCCTGGCCTCTCCAAACATGCCAAGGGAGATGTGCCATCCCCATCAGACAATCCCGGTTCCAACTCCTCTGATCCGGGTCCCAACGAGGCCACGACAGGATTCTCCTAAAATCTACTATCATCTCTACAGTTTTGAGTGTGTTTTGTTCAAGACAGTTCCAAAAACACAGATTAAAACACAGGTTAGCCTTTCAAGCCTGCCGTGGCAGTGTTTCCTTTTTAAAAAATATTTATTTTATTTTATAACATTTAAAGATTCCATTTTTAGTTAAACAGTGTGTTGTCCGGGTACAAATATTTTTAGGAAATAATAACCAAAATGTTTACAACAATATTAATTACCTTGGTTTTAGTTCTATAATAATAGAATAATAACAACCACCACCACAACAATAATAATAGTTGCTTATCCATTTTAACTCTTTTACAGTTTTGAGTGTGTTCAGTTCAAGACTGTTCCGAAAACCCAGATTAAATTTAGCCTTTCAAGCCTGCAGTGGCAGTGTTTCCTTCTTTAAAAAATAATTTTTTAAAATAACATATAAAGATTCCATTTTTAGTTAAACTGTGTATTGCCTGGGTACAAATATTTCTAGGAAATAATAATCAAAATATTTACAACACTATTCATTACATTGGTTTTAGTTCTATAATAATAATCACAACAACAATAATAATAGTTGCTTATCCATTTTAACTCTTTTACAGTTTTGAGTATGTTCAGTTCAAGACTGTCCCAAAAACCCAGATTAAATTTAGCATTTCAAGCTTGCAGTGGCAATGTTTCCTAACCTAGGAAACTTTCAGATACTGGCTGGGGGATTATGGGAGTTGAAGTTCATACATCTTGGCCAAGGTTGCGAAACATTTGTATTGTGCAACACATGAATAAAAATAGGATTTGTAAGTGGTTTGCCAGGGCCATCTTTCTTCAATTTACCTTAATACCGCAAGGTCCTCATCCAGATGGGTAGGGGCGGGGATTGGACTAGATGACCTACAAGGTCCCTTCCAATTCTGTTAATCTGTAAATTTCTCTTTCTTGCTCTCTCTGCAGATTCCAGGTTAACTTTCAATGTGGCAATTGCGAAATGCCTAAATCAGATGTAGCTTTCCATTTCAACGTCCGTTTTGATGAGAACTGTATTGTATGCAATTCACACGAAAAGGGAAGCTGGCAGCAAGAAGAAAGAAAACATGATATGGTTTTCCGCAGAGGGCATCCTTTTGAGATCCGGTATCTTGTGGACATCTCTTCCTTTGTGGTATGAAGACGATAAGTCCTCTTTGTGGGTTATAATCACCATCTTTTTTTAAAAAAAAATACATTAGATTTGGGTATTGATTTTTGCCTTGTAGCAATGGAAAAGCATTTTTCAAAATGTGTGAAATATAAAATATCACAAAACATCTCTTGCTGAGCGCAAAACTGCTATCTCAAATGCAGAGTGGGCCCAGTCAATGCCCACATAAACTGGTGGAGTTTGAGCACACTTTCTTTTGATCTTGTCTTTATTATTTATCAGTTTAGAAACTGTGTCCTTCACAGAGCAACTCATCAAGTCTCTTACCCATTTTGGGTGCTCCTTACAGTCTCCCAATGGAGCCTGTCCATTATAGTCATCAGTTGTTACCGTCATAATGTAGGCCATCACATGATTTGATCTGTTTTTGATGCCTTTTTTGCAAGGTTCATTGAGTGAGCCCATTTGTTACTATGGGCCATTTTTCCTGAAAATTGGGATTAAATGCTGATTTTCTACAAAAACAATGTAAATTGCAGTCACATGATAGAGGGTCTTTGCAAATGGCCTTAAATGCAGACTGGCTGCCAAGTTCCCAAAACACAATTGGGAGAGAGGGGTAGCTCTTGTAAGTTCGCAACAAAGTTGTAAGTACGGTTTGGATAATCTGTCACTAAGTGTTTGGTTGTAAGGCAAGCGGCACCAGTAATCTCAACTTGGTTTAAATGTTTTATAGGGGTCTAGTCTTTATCACTTCTAAAACATGGTTTGTGACTTCCCAGTTGGCCTTATTCTTAACCTACTAACTGGGGTTAGCTTGTTAGGTGAGTTCAACCATTGTTTTGCTTCCTTCTCTGTTGTCCCAAAGCTACTTTTTCCAAAAGACAACTGGACTTCCTGCATTTTTTTCTTTGAAAACATTTTGCTGGGGAGAGGGCGGAACTGGCGTCACGGTGGTACAACGCGCGACCTTGAGGCTCCAAGATTGCTGTCAATATCTCCGCTGTTAGACAGTCCCACTGGACCTAAACCGTCCCGTAGAGACGGTGTCAGAGAAGGGCACATCCTGTCGATCCCAGGGACACCGCAAAGTCCCTGGTAGATCCAGGAGAAGCCTTTTTTGCCGATGGTGGAGAGGCAGCCATTCAAACTGCTGAAGCCGGGACAGCTCCGGAACGGAAGAGATCTGGAAAGAAAGTGTGTCAGTTTGGTGAGATGAATTTCTACTTACTATTTTTTGCAGAGAACACCCTAAAAGACTTAAAGTGAAATTAAAAGTGAAGATAAAAGAGGTAAAGCAGCGAGATTAAGCTAAGTTTAAACTGAAGGGTTTTCCCCCCTTTTTTATTGAAACCTGGAATTTGGCAAAAGCTTCTCAATTTTAAACTGGACTGGTCTCCTTTTCTATTTTTTTATTTTTTAAATAATTTCTTTGAAAGTCTCTTTTGATTAAGATTCTTTTTTTTAGCTTTTTCATTTGAGGTTTACTTTTCTTCTTTTTTTCTAAAGCCTTTACTTTAAAAAAAAAAATCTATTCCAGGCTTTGGATATATGAGGAGAAGTGAAAATGAAGGGAAATAAGTAACACTGCCATCTAGAGACTTGGATACATTGTTTTCTCTTCTTTCCTACTTGTTTATGCATTGGTGTTACATTCAAGGACTCTGAGCTATTTACTGAAAAGATAGTGGGATCACTGGGATGAGCACGGTAGATTGTTTATACAAGTGGTCTTCTGTGAAACTATTGACAGCTGGAGTTGAGTTGAAGTTGAAAGAAAGAAGATTGAAGTGACCTTGGAAAGTCTGATTTGATTTACTAAAGACCCTTGGACATTTAGTGGCAGTGGTTCGCTTTCTGTCAGAACTGTTTGTTATCCTTTTTTTTTTTAACTTCCCCTCCAGCTGGATTTTTATGTTTGGACTTTAGCTTTTTGATCCAGGAATTAGAGTATATCCCCCCCTTTTTTTCTTTTGCTTTATCTTTTTTATTAAGGGAAATACATAGACTTCTATTTTTTTTAAAAAAAATTCTTTTCTCTTTAAATTCTTTTACTTTTTCACCCTCTCTTCTTTTTACATTTTTTTCTTTTCTTCTTTTTTTATATTATACAAGTGCCTGAAGATTTTTCCTTTTCCCCTTTTTACTTTTTCTCTTTATATTTTTTATTGGGGTGGCACTTGTCTGCTCTTGTTTCTTCTTGTTTCTTTTTTTTTTACCAAGTATAACAAGATGAACAGAAAGTCAGCAGCCTCAGCTTCTTCAATACCTCTTCACCATCTGAAGGACAACGATCAATACAGATGATGTTGCAAAAGGAGAAGAAGTAAGTGACACTGCAGATGATTATGCAAGGAATCCAAAAGATACAAGCAAAAACAGATAATATTGAAAAGAGAGCAGAGAATATTGAGCAAAGAACTGAAAAGACAGATGAGAAGTTGAGAATACCCAACAGATGATGATGAAATATGAGGATAGATTTAAGAAAATTGAAGAACAAGATGTACAAAGAGATAAGAAAATTGGAGATATTGATACTCGATTGAGTGAAGTTGAAAGAGACAGGAGCGGATCACTGAGATGGGAAATGGACAGGTCAGAATTCTATTTGAGATTCCAAAATATAGAAGAAGAAAAGGGTGAAAACCTTGCTGGAATAATGACAGAAATCCTGGCAGAAGCGTTAGAGAGAAGATGATGGATGGAATGGATGAAGTGTTCTGTGTCTATATGAGAAATAAATTACCAAGAGAAGTTCATATCAAATTTACTAAGAAAACTATCAAAACACAGATACTGCAGGTAGAAAGAAAACATTAAAGTACAAAGACAAAGAAATTGTGGTGCTGAAACAAGTACCGAGAAGAGTGAGAGAGATGAGAAGAGAATACTTATTTCTGACTAAAGAGTTGCTCAAAAGAGGAGTAAATTACAAATGGTTGATACCAGAAGGTCTCATGTTCACCTGGCAGGAACAAAGACACAGAATTGACACAGTTGAAAAAGCTGAGCTATTCTATCTAGAATATTTTAGAGGAAAGGAAGAAGATACAAGAAGAGTCGTTAATCAAATTTCAAGAGGAGTGTATACCAGCAATTGAAAAAGAAAAAGAAGAAGGTACAGTAAGTGGTGTACGTAGAGAGCAACAAGAACCAAGGTCTACTAGAGCAACAAATCCTTATAAAGTCTAAAATGGATGAAAGAAAATTGATTACGATGAATATAAATGGACTCAATTTAACTACTAATAGAAGAAAAGTATTCCATAAACTAGAGAAATTAAAGTTTGATATAATCTGCCTACAAGAAGAACATATTAAAAAACAACATGAATATATACTGAAACAAAAAAAATTAGGGAAATTATTCACATCATTGATACAATGTAAAAAAAGAGGTGTAGTCTTATATATTAGAGATACAATTTCTGTGGAACAAATTTATGCAGATGACGATGGAAGGATTTTGATGGTGGAAATAATGGACAATAATGTCCATTATTAACTTTTAATAGCAATTTATGCTCCAAATGATAACCAAGGAAGAATTTTACAGGAAATTACCTATGAAAGTAATTGAACTGGACTATGTTAATATTTGTATAATGGGAGATTTTAATGGAATAATTATTGATCAATTGGATTATAAAACACAGAAAACAACAAAGAAAATTAGAAAGACATTGCCAAAATCCTTTTTTCGAATGATAGAGGAAATAAACTTAAAAGATGCATGGAGAGAGACAAATGTGGAAAATAAACAATATACTTTTTATTCAAATAGACATGCATCATGGTCTATGTTAGGAATGATAGTCACCTAACAGTTGGGTTGGCAATATATAAACCAGAATAGTCATTTAATACTCTTGTATCTTTAAGAGAATGTTGTAATTGTGATTGGCTGAGGTTCCTCCAATGGCCATAAGATGGAGCCAGAAACTTGGTTTCTTCTTTTTGCATTTCCTTTGCTTTCCTTTTGCCTTTTGCCTGATCATCATTCTGCTTGAATTGCTGTGAGTCTTGCAACTATTCCCAAACTCTGTTTATTGAACTTTGTCTATGATACTGGTAAAGAAAAGGACTTCATTTTGGGATTATCCCTGGAGTGATTATTTTGAATACTAACTGCTTTAACTGTGTATGGTTTGGACTGTTTGTTGGACTTTGTTTACCCATTTACAGGAAGTAAAACTTACATTTTACTATTCAGTGTATCTGTGTGCTGGTTGTATGTTATTCATCACCACTCTCACTATGTTTCCCTGAGTGCACTCATTCTCCTAACAGGGAATACCTCAACAGTCTAGAATAGATATGGCATGGATGTCAACAGAATTATTTTTCAACATAGAAGAAACTGAAATAAAAACAAGTACTTGGGCAGACCATAATCCAATGACAGTTACATAGAAAGGATAAAAGAGGAGATCTAGATGGACTTTAAATAATATGATAGGAAAGCAAAAAGGAAAAAGACTTTAAAAACAGAAAATTGAGAGAGAATTGGTTTTCTTTTTTAAAGAAAATAAAAAAGAGGTTACATCTTTACAGAATCTCTGGGACATGATGAATGCCTACACAAGAGGTTTGATACTAGAATATACAAGAAAAAGAAATATAAAACAGAAAAAAAACCTTTCAAAATACTGGAAGACGACTATAAGACACTGGAAAAAGAGTTACAGAAATTTCCACCAAAAGAAGACATTAAAATTAAAATGGACATAACTAAACATAAAATGGGATTAATGGAAAAAGAGGAATTAGCACAAAAAAATAAAAAATGCTAAACAGAATTATTTTGAAGATGCAAACAAACCAGGCAGATGGTTAGCCTATAAATTGAGAAAGGAAAGCGAATAAAGAAGGATAAGTCAACTAACAGATGAAGAAGGATGTGTCTGCTATGGAAATAAATTATACAAGATTATTATGGAAAATTGTATCATCAAGAGAATATTCAAGAAGAAAGAATTAAGCAATATCTACAGGAAGTGAATTTACCCCAGATACCCAAAGACATTTAAACAATGTTAGAAGGGAACATATGATGATGGAATTAACAGAAGCTTTTAAAAAAAACAAAACATCGGAAAAGCAACAGGTCCAGATGGATTGCCAGTGGAATGTTATAAGACATTTCAGGAAACGCTGAATCTTCAATTACTAGAAGTTATGAATGAAGATATGTCAAAGAAGAGAATACCCAAAACATGGTCAGAAGCATGCAGTACACTTGTACCAAAGGAAGATACAGACCCACAGCAAGTTAAAAACTATAAACCTATATCCCTATTAAATTCAGACTATAAAATCTTTGCTTCAATCTTGGCAGAAAGACTGAAAAGATATTTAAATAACTTTATTCATGCTGATCAAAATGGATTTCTGCCAAAGAGACAAATTAAAGATAATATGAGAATAATTCTGGATACTTTGGAATATTATGAGGCACATCCTGAAAAGCAAATGGCTTTGATGTTTTTAGATGCACAAAAAGCCTTTGACAATGTGAGTTGGCAATTTATGTTATTGCAACTGGAACAAATGGGCTTTGGTAAAAAATTTATTCAAGCCATAGAAACAATATATTATAAGCAAACTGCAAAGGTTCCATAAATGGAGAGTTAACAGATTCTGTAGATATAAGAAAAGGGACTAGACAAGGTTGTCCACTGTCACCTCTGTTGTTTGTGTTAACATTTAGAAGTGCTGAATAGGAACATTAGAGAAGAAAAATAAATAAAAGGAATGAAAATTAAAAAGGAAGAATATAAATTGCAAGCTTTTGCAGATGACCTGGTATTTATATTACAGGATCCACTGGAAACAGCACCTAAATTAATAGAAAAGATAGAAGAGTATGGAAAAGTAGCAGGTTTGAAAATAAATAAAGATAAAACAAAGATATTAACAAAGAACATATTAGCAAGATGAAAGAAAGAGTTGGAGGAAGTCTTGGAAATCCAGGTCACGAATAAGGTTAAGTATTTAGGGATATATATAACAGCAAGATGTAGTACACTGAAAGAGGATAACTATCCTAAACTCAAACAACAGATTGCGACAAACTTGACAAAATGGAAAATTTACAATTATCATTGATTGGGAGAATATCTACAGTTAAGATGAATGTATTGCCTAGAATCTTATATTTATTCCAGACAATTCCAATTAGACTAGGAAAAGAGTTCTTTGAAGATTTAAACAAAATATTGTTAAAATACATTTGGCAGGAAAAGAAAGCGAGAATAAAACTTAAACTGTTACAAGATGCAAGAATAAGAGGAGGGTTTGCTTTGCCCAATTGGAAATTATATTATCAGGTGACAAACTTGATGTGGGTAAAGGAATGGATAACATTAAGGAACAGTAGATTATAGACTTTAGAAGGACATGACTTGCTGTTGGGATGGCATGCTTTCCTCTGGTATAAGGGAACTAAAACACAGCGGTATTTTAGAAGACATATTCGAGAGGCATTGTTTTTAAACTGGGAGAAGATAAAAAAGCAATATTATTTAAAAATTCCATTATGGATATCTACTATTGAAGCTTTTTCTTATCCAATAACATATAAAAAGGAACAAACAGTTAGATATGGTGAGATAAAGGGTGAACTTAAATCTATGCAAGCGTTGGAAGAACAAGGTATAAAAATGAGTTGGTTTTCATATGTACAAATACAATCTAGATTTGATAAAGATCTTAAAACAAAAGGTTTCTATGATAAGTTGACTGATTTAGATAAAATTTTGATGGATACTGATGAAAAGGTAATTAAAAAACTATGGACATTTATTAGAATTTAAATTAGAGGAAGAACAAGTTCAAGAAACAATTATTGCTTGGGGGAAAATTTTGGATATGGAACTGATTTAGAGAAATGGCAAAAATTGTGGTCTCAAAATTATAAAATGACAAGGTCAGTTGCTTATAAAGAAAATGTGTATAAGATGTTTTACAGATGGCATCTACCCCCGACGAGAATTGTGAGAATGTTTAAGAAAACATCAGATAAATGTTGGAAATGTCATCAGATACATGGTTCTTATTACCATATGTGGTAGACATGTTTGGACACAAAAAGATATTGGACTAAACATGTTTTCCACACATGATTGGAAAAAATGATAAAACAACACATATACTTTAAACCAGAGATATTTTTATTGGGAATTATACAATAAATAATTGAAATATTTGATTGTAAATGTTTTAACAGCGGCTAGAATTTTATTTTCTAAGAATTGGAAAAAATGAAAAAATACCTATGCAGGAGGAAGTTATTAAGAAAATTATGGACTGTGCTGAAATGAGTAAATTGACATTGGAAATTAGAGAACAAAAAAAATAAACAATTTTATATGATATGGGACTTATTTTATCAATGGCTAGATTAAAAGACATGGTAATGAAATAGACTAGGAAGTTTTGTAACAGAAGATTAATATATATATATAGAATATAATACAAAATATATAACCTTTGGATAAATGTATAATATAAAATTATAATAAAATCTAGAATATCTCATATGAAATGATGGAATAATAGTTTAGTTAAATGAATGATTAATAATTGATAGATATATAAGCATTTGTTAGATTGACAATTTGAGAACCTTTACAACTTGTGAGTAAGGACTATGAAAGGATAACACAAAAGATTTGTAACCAACTGACACACTGTATATATATAATTGAAAGATGGTTGTATGTTTTTGTCTGTATATGTTTGTCTTAAAAAAAAAAATTACAAAAAAAAGAAAGAAAACATTTTGCTTCTCATCCAGAACTGAAGAAGCTTCTTGGATGAGAAGCAAAACATTTTCAATGAAAAAACAAAGAAATCCAGTTACCTTTTGAAAAAAACACCTTTGGGACAACCGTGATCTGGAGCCCGGGTGGCGCAGTGATTAGAATGAAGTATTACAAGCTAACTCTGCCCACAGTCTGGAGTTTGATCCTGACTGGCTCAAAGGTTGATTCAGCCTCCCATTGTTCTTAGGTCAGTTAAGTGAGGACCCAGATTGTTGGGGGGCGATATGCTGACATCGTACATCGCCCAGCTAGTCTGTAAAGCACCATGGGGCAGTATATAAGTTGGAGCCCTATTGCTGGATGATCAAGTATCTCCACAGACATTTCCTTCTCTGTTGTTCTTGTGGTGACTCGATATGACAAGTTGCTCCCTTCTTTGTGTGCCAGGTTCTGGTAGATGGAAAGCTGTATTTGGAATTCAAGCACAGGATCCCTCTTTCCCGGGTAGATACCATCGGAATTTCAGGAGAACTAGATGTGATCTCGATCAGCTTCCAAGGTCCAGTTGTAGGTATTCCATTGATTCATTTTATTTATAAAACACCTTTCCTGCCTTCTTTTGATAAACAAGAGGGTACCCTTATTTTTCCTGGGGTTAAATGTGTGGAGTGTTTAGACAGGATAAATATATGCCTTCCCTCTTTCCTTCTGGTCTTTGAATCATTGCAAAGATTTTCTAACAGTTTTCTGAGTGATTTGAGGAAGGGGAGATAAAAATAAAGTCCAGGTGGTGGCCTAATGCTAACAATCCCTCATGTGTGTCGAGACAGGGGTGAGCTGCTGGGAGTTCACAGGGGTCTGAGAGAGCCCTTAGCTAAGATTCTGTGCAGTTTGGAGAACCTCCAAATCCCACTCCTGGCTGGCCCCACCCACCCCTCCCCTCTCCTTCCAGGAGTCTCCACGTGGCCTGTTTTAGATGCAGGTAAATGCAGGGCGCACACAGATGCTCAGGAAGGGTGAAAAACGGGCCTCCTGGAGGCTTCCAGAGAACCTCCTGTGTCAGGGCTCTGGCAGTTACCCCCATTTAAATCATGAGTCTCGAGCCGAACTTGCAAAACTTAAAGAAGATTTATTAGGAGTAAACATGCCAGCACTGCCTGGGTGTAGCCGACTCTGAGACACTTCATTCATTGTCACCCTTGACCCTGTTTTCCCTGCACTCCCTGGGTGTATCATAATTCATATTCTCCAAAGGGACACATCCATAGCTAAGAGTCTCAATCATGCTTTCCAGTTGTGCGGCAGAAACTTCGGTCACCTAGTTACTATCTTTGAATACATTTATGGAATGCAAGCTGCTGCACTGCTCCCCCCTCCCTTTCTGTTGGCAGCTCTAAAAAGACCATAGAAATATTTTATGAGTTGACCTCTGGAGCCCGGGGAGGGCAAAAACGCCCCTGCCCCCGCCATGGTGCAGAGACCAACTAGGCCACGCCCACCATGGCCACGCCCACCCAGCAACCAGACAGAGAACCCGTTGCTAAAATTTTGGAAGCCCTGTCCAGGTCACAGACATGATGCACTTCAACAGAGACACAACTGCTTTGCTGGCTGAGGAACTCTGGGAATTAAAGTCCACAAGTCTGAAAAGTTGCCAAGGTGGGAGACTCCAAGAAGTGTTTTTCACTGCCAGAGGAATTCTGGGAGTTGAAGTCCATACATCTTAAAGTTGCTGAGGTTGTGAAACCCTGATTTAGAGGTAGCTCTTCATTATGATAGCTCATGCAATTTCCTTTGATTTCTGTTTTTTTTCTTCCAGGCTTATCCAGTTTGTTCCAATCCAGTTTTCCCAACATTCTCACAGGTATGACATACAGTCCTTTTATCTATCTATCATCTATCTATCTATCTATCTATCTATCTATCTATCTATCTATCTATCTGCTATCTATCAGCTATCTATCTAAGCTCTATATCCGTGCTTCACTATGAAACTATGTGGTTGGGCTTAGTTTTTGGAGAGGAAAATAAGGGGGGTGGGTGGGTGGAATTCGCCTCTGCCTACCAGCATTCATCGCTATTCATCTGGCTAGTGCCCTGTCAGTGTGTGTGTGACAGTTAAGGGCTGTTTGGAAAGTGAAACAGTATTTGCTGTGTGAGCAAGAAGGAGACAGCAAGGAGCCTGGGCGTGGCTTAGCTCAACTGTTCTGTACTAAAGCTGTTTGGTGCTCTGAAACTGAAACTCCTCTGCTTGTGTTTTGCATTTGGAACATATTATCTTTCAGGTAGGGAGGGGGAGTAGAACTCCTTAGCATCAGAGCGTGTTAATAATAATAATATATGAAATACTAATACGCTGATGGTCATTTTGAAAAATCCTTTCTTAGTGAACACCAAGTAGCCAAGAGGAACACATGTGCCAAATTTCAAGTTGCAGTAGAGACTTTGGGGAAAGGGATTGTCCTAAATGAAAGATGGTACATACAGTAAATCTAACAAGCAAAGAAATAAAAAAAATAGAAATAATCTGGTTAGCTTAAACGTATTTGGACTGAACTGAGATAGTTGTAGGTAGTCCTCAACCTAGCAACCATTCAGATCTGGAAAAACTCGTTCTGACCTGGATTCTAATTTCCAACATCCCTCCCACAGTAACAGTCACATAACCACATTTTGCGTACCTAGCAACAGGCCAACATTTATGGCCATTTGTATCCTTGATCGTATAACCATGATTTATGTTGTAGGAAATGAGAGTTAGTTTCCAGTTTGTAGCAAAAAAATGCTTGCTGCATTTGCTGTATGCAGATTCAGTTATGATGATAAGTCGGGATCTATCTTTATATAGATCCAATCACTCATCCTGCAGGTTAAATCATATTATAAGACAAACTGTAGATATTGTTTTTATGTACTATATACATATCAATAACTGCACCCCTTTCCTGCAGAGCAAAGTGGTATGGTCCTTGTTCTGTCCTCACTATGCTTTACAGGTAGTCTTCGACTTACAACAGTTCATTTAGCGACCGTTCAAAGTTACAATGGCAGTGAAAAAAGTGATTTATGACCGTTTTTCACACTTATGACCGTTGCAGCATCCCCATGGTCACGTGATTTGCATTTGGATGCTTGACAACTGACTCACATTTATGACCGTTGCTGTGTCCCAGAGTCATGCGATCCCCTTTTTCAACCTTCTGACTAGCAAAGTCAATGGGGAAGCCAGATTCACTTAACAACCGCATTACTAACTTATCAACTGCAGTGATTCACTTAACAACTGGGACAAAAAAGGTTGTAAAATGGGGCAAAACTCACTTAACAAATTTCTCACTGAGCAACATACATTTTGGGCTCAATTTGTGGTCGTAAGTTGAGGACAGCCTGTACCTTGTGTGTAGGTTGTCATGCAGATAAACTCACCTATCCTTCAGTAAACCAGACCATTTATGTAGATTTTGACCAATGGTGTGTTTTAAAAAAACTGGTTTGGTGGGTGTGGCTTAGTGGGCGCGCTTTGTGTGCATGCACATCCTTTGTGTGCATGCATGCGGCAAACACGCACTTTGCACAGGCGCAGAGGCTTTCTGACTCACCTCCTGCAAGCCTGCACACTCCCTGTCACTTCAGCAGCTGATGCGTGGCAATCTACACCACGCAAAGCAGCTGCGCTTCAAAAGCAGGGAATAAAGGAGAACCGGTTCAGCCACTGCTGCTCATCAGCGCTACTGGCTCGGCAGAACCAGGCTGAACTGGTGGAATACCACCCCTGATCTTGACGCTGTCAGGATTCTGGCAGTTACCCCAATTAAATCATGAGTCTCGAGCCATACTTCCAAAATTTCAAAAGAATTTATTAAAGGAACAGGATGGTGGAACTGGGAGAAAAATAGAAATACATACAATAAGAACCCGAATACAAAATAAACAGTGTTGAGCTGCTGATGAGCATAACAATTAACAAATACAGATAGAGTTCAAATTTCACCAGCAATGCTATGTATATGGGATGTAGATTTTTGTCTTTCGATGAACATGCGCCACAGATTAGACTGGATACTTCCAGGTGATTTTGCTTCCTCGGACTGTTAAAAAATGGAGACTGGCTTCTCAGGATGTATCTAGGTTGTTTTTTTTCCCCAGAATGAGGAAGGATAGGAGGATGAGAATTTTTCTGTAGGATCAAAACAATACTAAAAACCAACTTTCTAAACAGCAATAGGTTGTATCTTTGGCCACTAGATGGCGCTCAATACATGTTTAGAGAGCAATAACAGCATACAGATACACAAACTCTGCTGAAAGCAGAACAATCCTTACTATTTAGGACTCTGCTACTCTGAGCAATCTTTTGGGAAACGGAGAGATGGGAATGGGAAGATTTCATTCATAAACATTGGCAGAGATAGATGACATTTGAGAGCTGAGAGTTGCCACCAAGATGAATGGCAGCCCAGGGTGTCACTGCACAGTTGACACAAAAGGGAAGTTATACAATGACATCATGATGCACATGGTGTCTTTGTGGATTGTACCAGATGCCTACAAATTTCTCCCAGTTTGCCTCTGCTAAAACAGGTATGCCAGGTTTTTCAACTGGGGCGATACCTGCAAAAGCTATTTGACTAAAATGATCAGTGACATAAATTAAATATGTAAAAACAAAGCAGAATGGGTTGCTGGGAAATGCTTGCCAAGAATTTGAGACCAAGAGTAGCATCAGCATCCACTGTCTGCTGTTTCTCAACCTTGGTAACTTTAAGATGTGTGGACTCTGCTTCATCCTTGCTGGATAATTTGGGGAATTAAAATGCACACATCTTAAAAGCTGCCAAGGTTGAGAGACACGGGGACAACAGCTGTCAAGAGCTCTTGGTTGGGAAACTTACTCATGCTGTACCTGGTCCTTGGATCCTGGCTGTGATGTTGCCATACTCTGGGTCTTTAGGGAAACAGGAGTACCCATTGTGAGCTGCTAATGAAATTTCCTAGGTATGGTTGCCAGGGCATTATGGGTAACTAAAATGGCAGACATTTTGTAGCTGGCATAAAAAAGCAGTTAACTCTTGAAGGAAGAGGAGAAACCAGGATTAAAAATGTGTCTTACTGAGTAGGAATTACTGTCAGTCCTGCTTTAAGGAATTGTAGGATTCCCAAGTTTTTTTTATAAATGTTTGTCTTATGTATATATTTGGATTTTTTTAAAATAATCTAAAACCTTTTCATGTAAAATCCTGACTGCTATTCTTTTTGCTTCGTAGCCAAGTGCCTGTCCCATTGGACAATGCTTTCCACCACAAAGTTATGTAAGTCTTTATCATATTAGTAATATTTGCACTTAAGTCATTTTTTTCTGACCCATCACTTATGAAGGATTTCAACTCTAGGCTAACATGAGAGTCAAAATCCCACACATTTAGGGACCTGATACTACTCAGTTAGGAATCCTCTAAAATGGAGCATGGGTAGGAATTTTGGCTCAGCGTGAGAACCCAGTCCCCATGTTTGCACATTATGTGAATCAGGCCATCGCTGTCAGACCTGCTCTGACTTGGTCCTTTAGTCAAGAAAGACCCTCGACTCCATTTGTTGTGAAAGGTATATTTTTACTAAAAGCCAAGTGGATAATAGCAAACACCAGAACTAAAGTTTGCACACCAACATTCCCTGGTTAACTTTCCCTATCCAACTCCTCTCCTCCCTTGGTCCCTTATTGCCCAAATATATTTGAATAAATAGTTTTGGGAACAGTCGCTTCAACGGTGGGCAGGTTGGTGAGTCATTGCATTCCATTCCCAGAATTTTGACCTTGAGCTGATGTCTCTGGATGGTAGGATGAGTAGTTGGCTTCATTAGTTTCACTTTCCCCCCCAAGCATTCAACCTTCCCTCCTTTGGCTCTCCCCTCCCTCAGTTCATGGCAGACTGAGAGCAAAGGTGAAATTCAGACAAACGATGGCAGTTCTGACAATCACCTTCAGCCATAATGTTGTTGATTAGTGTAGGCTGTGCCTGGTATGGGAACTCAGCAACTGGGAGGTGTTAACATGTCTTAAGATTAAGCATGTGCGAGAGCGAATGTGGGGGGCAATTAGGTGTTGAACTCAGCTTCAAGCCCCTCATCTGCCATGGAGGGCTTTGGGCGTGCTGTTCTCTCACAGCTCAACCAGCCTCATTGTGTCATTGTTACACAGAGATCACGGAGGGGGAGTGTTATATACGTCCCTTGAGACTCCAGAAGGAGGGCATAAATCTAAAATATCTAATAAAATGAACCAGAATGAACCCAACCTTGGTAATCTGATGTATCTTTTCTATTAAGAGCTGCAATAGGAAAGAATCCGCGCTGGGGGTTGGGCTTGAGCATCATTGGAATTTCCCACAATGCACCAGATTTAACTAGGCTCCTTGGGAAATATGAATGCCTTGCACTAGAAAACCTTCTGAAAAAAAAAAAAAAAACCAAGAAGTCAGCAATGAATCAAGGTATGGCCTTGGTGCTCTGGAAAAAAACTAAAAGATGTCAAAGGCTAAAGCCATCAGTGGACACTTGCAAGTATGAGCAGGAAGAACCATTGGTGCTTTCTCAGGGGAAAAGGCTACGCTTAGGTGGATAATCAAAAATGTCCCCAGGAAGAGGTTATAAAAGTCAACATGGCAATAAAAGCTCTGTACTCTTTTTATGTGAATGAGCATGCACGTTAAAAAGAGCTGGGATTTGATTATGTGGTGGCGTCAGACATTTTGATTTTTTCAGACTCACTGCCCTCAACCCCTGTATACCATCAGCCTTTGTTGATGAGCCGTGGTGGCGCAGTGGTTGGAATGCAGTACTGCAGGCTACTTCTGCTGACTACTGGCTGCCTGCACTTTGGCAGTTTGATTCTCACCAGGCTCAAGGCTGACTCAGCCATCCATCCTTCCGAGGTCGGTAAAATGAGGACCCAGATTGTTGGGGGCAATAGGCTGTGTAATCCACTTAGAGAGGGCTGCAAAGCATGGTGAAGCGCTATATAAGTCTAAGTGCTATTGCTATCTCTGATTGATTACTTGAAGGTGCAAAATGGGGGAGGGAAAAAGGCAGATTAAATCTAATATTGTTTGTGTGTGTGTTCTCTCCACAGCCTCTCCCTTACCGAGCTACCATCTATGGGGGCCTTTTTCCATCCAAATCAATTATAATTTCAGGCTCTGTGTCACCTTCTGCTCAGAGGTAAGGACTAAGAAATATTGTTGGTAAAAACTTCCTTCCGCACAATTTTATTCCGGATTCATTTCTTCTGAATTCCTTTCAAATGAGTGGTTTGGAGCTGCACAGTTAAAAATGGACAAGTCGCCTTTTGAAAAAGCACTTTTGAAATGACTGTGTAATGCAAGTGGTATCATCTATCAGAATATTTGTCCAGGTAGTCCTCGACTTACAACAGTTCATTTATTGACCATTCAAAGTTATAATGGTACTGAAAAAAGTGACTTACAACCATTGCAGCATCCCCGTGGTCATGTGATCAGAATTCAGGCGCTTGGCAACTGGTTCATATTTATGACGGTTGCAATGTAATTCACTTTTGCGACCTTCCAACAGGCAGTCAGTGAGGAAGCCAGATTCACTAAACGTGTTACTAACTTAACCACTGCAGTGATTCCCTTAACAATTGTGGCAAGAAAGGTCATAATAAGGGGCAAAGCTCGCTTAACAAATTTCTCACTTAACAACAAAAATGTTGGACTCAATTGTGGTCATAAGTTGAGGACTGCCTGAAATGTCTATAAGATACATCCACATAACAAAAACTCTTGAGGAATCTTCAAGACTAGCAAATAGATTGTGATGTAGGTGCAGTGACTGAGGATAATATATTTGTGCAGCATTTTGAATTCAAAGGGGAAAATGGTGTTTTGTAGCACACGAGGGCGCTCCTGTTGCACTTGTCAGTAATTCCTAAAATAACCTGCATTTGTTTTCCCTTGGATCAAGCTGACTTCTAGAAAAGATGCTGCATTTTCCAGAAGTTACAGAGGGAACTGTCATGTCCTTGTTAGAGTCAGACTCTAAGGGAGAGGAGGAACAGCCGACAGGGAGTGGAGATATGGCTCCGGAGGTTGTAGGGGAAACTGGGGAAGGGCAGAGGCTGTCTGGGCAGTCAAAGGAAGAACCAAGCCCATCCCCTCTTCATCCTAGGACACGCAGGGAGGAACGGAGAAGGCAACAACTTGGCTTATGAGAGAGGAAGCGGCCATGATCCCCCTCATTAGTTGCAGCTGGAGAGAATAGTATATAAGAGAGACGGTTAAAACACAGTGTTGCCAGAAGCAAAGCGTGTTTTATTTTGGGCTGAAGTTATCTTGGTTGACATCCTTCCAACAGACCGTGCCTTGTTATCTCCTTGAATTTGGTAATTACTTATCCTGGTCCGTGGTGGAAATTTCATCATTGTAGTTTGTTTGGTTTTTTATTTCAGCTCTTAAATTCGGACTGCATTGCTTTCTTTTGAAAACTATTTTTGAATAAGTTTTATCTCCAACAGAGAATTATTGAACAGTGGGGCCAAGTTGGAGGCATTAAAGGACATTTATTTACGTTTTGGATTTTGTTACGTTTGTGTTACACTCTGGGTCATCATAGGAACCTGTGAAGTACCTTTTCTCTTTCAATCCAAAATGCTGCATGGCTGTAATTTATTATTGCATTTATTATATTTATTATTAAATGTATATGCCCACCCATCTCACCACTATAGCTTTAGGCGGCTTATAAGATTTATCAGAATGTAAAGAGAGGCTCCACCCTTTTCTGTGTTTTGTATTTTATCTTTAGCCATAAAAAGTAAATCAACATGTTTAAAAGAAAAAATAATGAAGCGAGGTTCCATCAACAGATGCTAAAAGGGATACTGCAAATGAACATCAGCATGCTGAGAGTGAGCTGGCAATACTTCTTAAATAATCCTTTCAGGAACAAAGTTGGACAACCAGAAGCCCAGCCAGTTGGGTGACAGAATTAACACACCTGTGTCACTTATCCTCATTGTTTAGATCTGTTACCTTGCCCTATGAAATAAAATGAGTGGAAAGGACACACACTCGGGCAAACAAGCTAACTGCACTACTAACGTGGGCAGCCTCCTGCTCACACCCTATTATCTTTCTTGGTGACCTCAACCTACCTCTAATTAATTGGACTCTAAATGAATATACAACATGCATTCACACACCCATTCTAAAAGTACTGAATGTGATAAAAGGAACTTCGTTGTACGTTTATTTTCTTAAAGAGCAAATAAAAATAAAGAATCATTACTAGTCACACTCCATGCATGATAGTATGATGTGGTTATCTCTAGATCATCAATCTATGTACTGTATCTATCTCTAATCTGTCATCTCCCTATATCAATCATCTATCATCTCTATATCAATCATCTATCATCTCTCACATCTATCATCTCTATTATCTATCTATCTATCTATCTATCTATCTATCTATCTATCTATCTATCCTATTTATCCATCCTATCTATCCTATCTACTGTATCATCTATCTAATCATCTATCGGGTGACCCCTTTTTTCCAGAAGTGGGGCTCTCTTGATGAAGTCCTAAAAAAAGAGAATCTATTTGGCAAAAAAGATTCTTGCTCACTGCGGGTTCACACGGGAATTTCCTTTGAGAAGAATAATGGCTTTTGAATCAGCAATATAATATCTTCAGAAGTTGGAATGTTCATTGTATCCTTTCTGGATGCGGAGGGGTGCGTGTCTCCTGTTTATTCTGGAACACAACATTTCGGTCTTTTTATGTAGGTTCCACATCAATCTGAAAGCAGGGAACAATACTGCTTTCCATCTCAACCCACGGTTTGATGAGAACACAATTGTTCGAAACTCTAACCTCAACATGTGCTGGGGCTCAGAGGAACGACACCTGCCCTGTGGGATGCCTCTGATGCGCGGCCAACCCTTTACCGTAAGTCAAAGCAGTCTGGTTGCTCCACCTGGGCCAGATAATTGTGTAAACTGACTTAAATTTGCATTTATCAGGCTAGCCTAATGCAGGAACGTCAGGATCCTTCATTTGCTTTACTCCTTTAAAAGCTGCACGGCTTAGAATCAGAAATTTTGGTCATAAATTGGTGCAGTTGTAAGTCAACTCATCCTGTTACCAGACCTGATTTTACAACTATTTTTACAGTGGCCATAAAGCAAATCACGGTTTCACAATTCAGTCACCAACTAAAATCACTGTTAAACCTGAACTAGTAATAAATATCAGAACCATGATTAGCACAATATAAATCACCAAATAAAATAATACATTATACAGTAGAACCTCTGGTCACGAACGCTTTTGACCATGATCAGATCGGGTTCCGACCAAAGAATTCACAAAATGTTTTAATCTGGTCACGAACACATACTCGGGTGGTGATCTGACATAACCCCTGACTCAGACATTCCTGAAGATGAAACATTAGAAGATGAAGACATCGCCAAAGTTATGGGACTTATTATAGTCATGACCAGATGTTCTACTCTACTATGTTACTAATAATATAATGTATAAATAATATAGTATAATACAATGTATACATTTCATAATTATTAAGCATTTATTCTGATTTAAATTTGTAAAACTGAAATATGGTTCTAAGATAAATCCAAATTTGGGTGCAGTACCAAATCCATGTATTAGGTTAAAATCTCAGTACTGAGTTAAAATCTGTATCAAAGTTACTTTTTAGTTATTCTGGATACTCATCATTTAGTGACTTTGAGGACATCATCAGAATTTGCAGGTGTTGCTTCTGGGAAACACCTTTAATGTTTTGTTGTTTGGGAAATGGGTAATTTGTGATGTTAATAGACAAAATAAAAATTTAAAGAACTGAGTTATATTATCAGGTCTCATTAAAGTGATCTCAAATGTGCATTTTCTTTTTATAGATCTGGATTCAATGTGAAGCACACTGCTTCAAGGTAGCTGTGAATGGACTCCATCAGTTTGAATACAACCACCGCATACATAACCTGCTTCAGATAAATCTTCTCGAAGTGGACGGTGACATAACATTGGCCAACATCCAGGCTTAAAAGTCGCCAGTAAAGGCCCATTTTTGGATGGAGATGCAATTGATGTGAAATGTTGAGCTTTACTACCTGAAGTTTGAATAAATGCTTTTTTAAGAGATTAAGAACCATAGAAGTTCAGTTTTTTTCCCCTTCCAATCTAATTGCTTTAATAAACTATTTTTGCTCATATCTAGTTTTGTTTACTGAGTCACATGTGGTAACCTGACATTCTGATTCTGAATTAGACACCATGGAAATTTCAGGATTATATCCTCCCTTTTTGCTATTTTGGGCTAAGTAAGTGGGAAAAGAAGTTCAATTGGACAAGTGCCAGTAACATTTCTGACAGATGGTGCCCAGTTTATTTGGGTGATGTCAGAGTATTTAATAGAATGGTACAGTGGCCTAGAAGTGGAGCTCTACAATCAGGAGGCTGTGAGTTCAATCCTAAGTAGAGGCAGATATTTCTCTCTGGGCACAATGAGAATATATCTGCCGAAACAATCTCCTCATTGGCGACAGGAAAGGAATCCGGCTAGTAAACACTCAGCTCCATTCAGTTGGCCAAGACTCCACCCCGCAAGGGATTATGCTTAAAAGTAGGTGTCAGCGTTCCAGCAAACTTCCATTCCAACCAATAACTCTGAGACAGACGTATCTCAAAGATACCTTTATTTCGATAGAAACTGGCACATCTGTGGAATCCCAAATCTTGCACTAACAAAAGAATTTTACTTTGTCTATTTAGAGATATTCAATTGAATCTCTCCCCACCACCCCCGCCACTTTTTCAGGCTTGTGGCAGCGTGGGAAAAATCGAATCTCAATATGGCTTCCAAATCTGACAGTAGGCCAGTTAGACTAATAGTCATTAGGTTTGTTATATTGGAAACAGGTGACTTGTCTGAACATATGACGTTCATTTGTGAAAAATCCCTGAACTTACAGCAATTGTTCTGACAATGTTTTTAGCTTTTTGAATACTGTCAGGAATTGGATATTTCTGGAAATTAAAAAAAAAATACACAAAATCTCGATAATCGTTAATATTAATTTGGTAATTAAAATATCACTAAATACAAGCAATTGTTCTTCAGCTGCTTTCCATGGAACTACTACTTCAATATTCCAGTAATCTGGAAAAAAATGAGAAATTGTAATTTATTCATGTCTTGAAATTGGCTACCTTTTTAAATGTTCACAATCCATTAGTCTTTCATTCAAATTTATTACGATGCTTTCTAAAAGTCTTTCCCAGGGAAGCCCAACAATCGATGATTTTCTACAAATTTTATATTTTTGAAGGTTTCTGAAGTAATAAATTCGTCAACTTTTTTTTGTATACACCCTTTTCTAAGCATTTCAAATGCTTTAATTGATCTTATCACAAGTTTTTCAGCCTTTATGATGTCTACATTTCTTGTTTGCAGGTCCAATTGAAAGAAGAGAAATTTTGTTTAGAATATCAATCATCAATGCCAAATCAGTCATAAAATATATATTTTCAAGACAGGCCTTTGACAAGACCTTTGATTTGAATTAAAATAGTGGTGTAGCAGTGGATAAGCATGCCACACAGCTAGCATTGATCTTAACTTATAGGCAGCTCATCTTGGTCCCAAAACTCTACCAATCTATAATTTCAATTCCATTTTGGTCAGTTTAAATTGGCTCTTATTGGATTGATGAAAAATAGTATATATATTTTATCAATAAATTTTTTAAAATTTTTATTTTATTTTAACAACATAGACATACCACATAAAATATAAAAACTTCATCCTTCATAAATTTACAAACAGTACATCGGTTGGTTTACCACGTTTTTTTGTGCATCCATTTCCTAGTCACTAATATAATTATATTACATAATAGCTCATATTATCAATCAATAATTGTATAACCTAATATCATCACTAAAAAAATCATTTATCTATAATTTTGTTAATTCATATTTTAACGAGATAACTATAGTTTACTTAGTTTATTTTGCAATAAATCATAAGATCATACCAAATCTATCTTGATAATGTTTTATAAAGATAATATCGAAAAAAAAAGGAGAAAAATTTTTTTTTATGCTAAATCTGAATATTCTATTATTATGTTTTATTATCTAATCATTGATAAAAAAGATCCCAAACTTCATAAAATTGTTTATCTTCTTGTTCTCTAATTTCAAATGTCAATTTACTCATTTCAGCACAATCCAATATTTTCTTAATAATTTCTTCCTCTGATGGAGTTTTCTCACTCTACCAGTTTTTAGCAAATACAATCCTAGCCGCTGTTAATATATTTACAATCAAATACTTCAAATTTTTATTATATATATCAGGTAAGATTCCCAATAAAAAATCTCTGGTTTCAAGTCTATATGTGTCTTTGTCATTTTTTCCAACCATATGCGAATCTTAGTCCAATATTTTCTAGCGTCCTCACAAGTCCACCACATATGGTAGTATGAGCCAGGTATCTGATGACATTTCCAGCACTTTTCAGATTTGTTCTTAAACATTCTTGCAATTCTTGTCGGGGGAAATGCCACCTGTAAAACATCTTATACAAGTTTTCTTTATAAGCTGTTGACATTGTCATTTTATAATTTTGAGACCACAATTTTTCCCATTTCTCCAAATCAATCCCATATCCAAAATTCTTCCCCCAATCATCATTTCTTTAACTTGTTCCTCCTCTAATAAAATTTCCAACAAATAACTGTATAATTTTTTAATCACTTTTTCATCAGTACCTGTCAAAATCCTGTCTAAATCAGTCAATTTATCATAAAATCCCTCCGCTTTAGAATCTATAAGATACCTTGAATGTATTTGCACATATGAAAACCAATTCATCTTTATGCCTTGTTCTTCTAGTTTTTGCATTGTTTTAAGTTCACTCTTTTCATCCAATATTTCCCCACATCTAACTGTTTGTTCCTTCTTATATATTATAGGATAAGAAAAGGCTTCAATAGTTGATAACCAGACTGGGATTTTCAAATAACATTTTCTCTTAATTTTCTCCAACCATAAAGACTCCCTTATATAATGCCTTCTAAAATAGCCCTGCGATTTAGTTCCCTTATATTTTATCAATAAATATTTTTAAATGATTTATTTGCTTTATTTCTTTTATCAAATCATCTAAAACAAGTTGGAGGCGATGGTTTAAGCAGTGCCACATTATGTTTGGAAACTCTTGCTGTTCTAGTGCTCACTCCAGATTTTCTCCCAAGCATAACGCTGGCACCATCAGAGCAAAATCCTATCAATTTTTTTTTTAGGTAGTTCTTAGTTCAACCCAACATTATTTAAATTTTCAATAACTGAAGAACATATTGTCTCTGCAACTTCTTTTTCCAATTCAACTAGCTTAACAAAAATTGTTGGTGAGGTAACTGAATCCTCAACTTTTAAGAAAAGTATCACAACTGGTTTGTAAGGTTGAGGCATCATCAATAATCAAACATATTTTCAGATTATTGTCAATAATTTTAGTAAACAGTTGTTTTTTATTTCTTTTGCAATGAAATCAACTATTTTCACTGCAGTTTTATGTGAATGAAATCCTAGTCCCAAATCTAGTCCATTTTTAATTTGCAATTCTATCTCATCTTCTGTGTCTGAAAATGTTTTACACCTTTGTGCCAGGCTGTAAACAATATTTTCAGTCGTCTTACCTAGTCAGCAGAAGTAGCCTGCAGTATAGCACTCAAAACACTACACCTCTCTCTCTCTCTCTCTCTCTCTCTCTCTCTCTCTCTCTCTCTGTGAAATTTGTTTTTAGATTTGTGTTCTTGATACCTTTGCATTCATGGTTGTTTTTATAATGCTCATTTGGCTGAAAAATGCAGTTTATAAGATATATATAGATATTTATTTATTTATTTATTTATATTATTTATATTATTTATTTTTGTCAATTGCTTACAAGATAATAGGTATAAGTAAAAACATAGTTATGAATACATGGATACATATAAAAATAATAAAAAATAAAAGAAACAATAGGACAGGGACAGTAGGCACGTTGGTACGCTTATGCATGCCCCCTACAGACCTCTTAGGAAAGGGGTGAGGTCAATAGTAGACAATCTAAGTTTAAAGTTTTTGGAGTTTGGCGAAGAAACCACAGAGTCAGGTAGAGTATTCCAGACATTGACCACTCTGTTGCTGAAGTCGTATTTCCTGCAATCAAGTTTGGTGCGATTAACCTTGAGTTTGTATCTATTGTTTGCTCTTGTGTTGTTATGCTTGAAGCTGAAGTATTCATTGACAGGTAGGACATTGCAATGTATGATTTTATATACTATATTTAGATTGGACCGAAGGTGGCGTAGTTCTAGGTTTTATTGGGCTGCATGGCCCAAATCTCTCTGAAATCAGTGTGTGGAGTTAGGATAAATCATATGTAATTGTTTTTAGAAATTTTAGGATTAATGTTTCTTTACATTGCCCTACATACAATAGCTTCTACGTTATTATATCTGGCCATTACATTTAAATTTTTCATATATGCTAGTGGTATTCATTTTGTTATGGATGGAAAAGACTGGTAATGTAATATTTCCTGGTAATGTAATATTTTTCTACTTCATTTTAGACCAAGTGACATTTTCTCAAGTAGTTCAATCCACTAAATCTTCTTAAACAATTGTTTGCAAGTGAAAAGATTTCCCCAATATTTATGTGGAAAGGGAATTTCACGAGGGCAGTAGTGTCACAAAAAACAGGAAAAGCCCAAGGGGAACATCAGGTCAGCCAGAAAACAAACTTTCATAGGAAAAGGAATCAAATAAAAAGTATTAAAGAATCCCTATAGACAAAAGCCTAAGTAATGAAGAAAACTAGACAAATAGGAAAAGGAAACAAAAGATAATTTAGAAAACCCTTACAAACACAGGACATACCAAATAAGCAAAACAGACAAAAGACACAAAATATAAATTACAAAAGGGACAGACAGGAGATTGCCACAGAACAAATATGAAAAACTATCTTTTTTTTTTAAGAACAAGTTTTATTGATTTTTTGAAGACAAACAAAACATAGAACATAAAAGTATAAAACCTCCTTTCTAAAAATTACTTATAAATTTTAGCAAGGCAAATAAAGCATTATTTTTTAAGACATAGTTCCACATTATCACATTTCCATTTAAACACATACATATCTTTTCCAAATT